ATAGCATATATAAAACTACAAGCTTATTTGTTACTGAAAGTAAAACTAAGAAGCCGCAAGCTTACAGGAAAAGTGTTAAATATAGTGGCTACTAAAATTGAAGTTCATTCCACAGATACATATAATGCCATAAATTAGTGATTTTGTATATTAAAATGAAATATATTTCATTTTTGCCTTCAGCAAGTGGAGCAGTGTCTGATATTTGCATTTATTGATCAGGCGTGGATATCCAATGTCTAGGTACCTACTATTGGTTTCATTTTCCTTCTTCCACTTAACATGGATACTAACAATTGCAACTTGTGAACACCTGATGAGCAATGCTGTTTTGAAAATACTCATTCTTGACCACTATAATTTGGCTTTTATCAGAGTCAATTAAATACTTCTCCATTACACTTACAGACAGTAAACAAAATGATGCTTCAATATCCCTGGCAGCTGTTGCCATCTATGTCACTCCAGCAAGTTCATTTCTAAAATGCAATAGTGGTCACAATATTTTTGTTGATAAATAATAGTATAAATGTATTTATATACCACAGAAGCTTAAATCAGATCCTCAGTTTTATTAAAATTCACAGTTTGATTCCCACTGAAAATCTATCGTGACCTGTACAATTTAGGATCTTGGTTTAAAAATAAAAAGTAGTTAAATGCAATCATATGATCTATACTGATCCTTAATAGATCACAAAACGGCACACAATAAATGATAAAACAGTTGCAGAAATGAATTAATTTTGTCAATGCAAAAATAATAAAAGTGTGGTTGGAAATGAACTATGTACAACCTGCAAATAAACCTCAAGTGGACATACATATGAGTGCAATAAAAGTTGTAATATAGCTAACTAAATGCTAGTAGTAAAATGGAGCATCCTAATGAGATTATCAAATAATACAAAATAAAATCTAAAATGAAGATCTAATCATATTGTAAAAAGTAATAATGGTTGAATGAAGCATTAGTTATAACCAGATCAAATATGAAAAGAAGAAATAATAGCATGCAGTAAATATATAAAATAAAACTCTTAATATATTTCAATGATTTTTATTTGAGGTGAAAATGGAATTTGCAAATAATAATTATTTTAATTTAATCTTAAAAGAATAAATATGCTTAAAGTTGTTTAATCCTTAAAAAAGGAAAATTACAGGACAAGATCTGAGTGGAATCTATACTATTAAAATCTATGCACATCTGTTTGTTTGTGGCATTGCCTCCTCTGGAATGACGGAGAGTTGAATTTCGAGAGAGATACCACCAGATTCCAAAAATTCGTGGGAAGCCATTTCGACCATTCTTACCATTCTCATCTTCATACGAATAAAAATGCTTTATTTTGAAAAGTGTTGCTACTGCTCGCTTTCAAATCATATGATTTGTTAATCAAAAATTTGTAAGTTTTATCAAATATGAAATATAAATAGCACTGCCAAACAAACATATTATATAAGGTCATATTCTGACATTGAAGAAGCACACGATTGCATAATACTGAGAAAATGTTCTTATATTACATTCAGTTTAAATCATGATGTCATACGTATTAACCTGAAGTGTCAAAAGTTTTTGTTTCTTGGTTTGGCAATAAAAAAAAAAAAATTTCTTATGAATTGGTTGTTGCTTGGAAAAAATGAACAAATTTCTTTCATGTTTTCATACATTTACTTTTCAGGTGTGCACAGAACTTCCAAACTTTGCTTTTGCTGAAGCCCACTTACCTGGCGGGCTTGTCCACTAGTTTTAAAATATTTTCATTCTCTGACTAGGACAAAAAGTCACTCTATACTAGTTTCAAGGATAATTATCAAACTGCTTCTGCAAATGAAAACTTATACCATTCATACATTGTGCATATATACAGTTTATTCTCATAAGATCAGTTTGCAGGCTTTATGAACTTACAGTGCTCCCTTATTATAATATAAGACGTGGGATTAGAATAAAATCTGTAGTATTATACTGAAAAGTAGCAAGTTTACAAATAAAAAAAAAATTATGTATTTAGATAAAATAAGAAAATATATGCAAGATATAACAAAATACAATGGCTGCTGTAAGAATAACTGGTGACCTCAAAATTAACTATTCTAGATTTGGTGTCTCCCCCCAAATTAGAGATCCTTCCATGTTACATAACAACCTAAAATTAACAAATCACAGATTAGCTGTACTTATGCATCAGACTTAGTATAAATACTCTTAGCACAATAACTACTTCGTTATTCCCTTCCCTAACTTCTGCTCTGCTTAAATGCTTACGTCTTGATTTTAAAACCAGTGTATATAAAAATTATCATATTTCATTATGCTTGGATAAATGTCTTCTAAGATGGTTTTATATGCATGAAAATAAAGATTGTAATACTTCATGTTCCATTGTGTTATCTGCGTCATCACAGCTTTTATCTTCAGCCACTACTGTCTTCTCAGCCATGACAGATATTGAAAGTTGTTGAAAGTATCAGATTCCTCCTAAGCATCAAATTATCACATATGTATGTCATATTTTGGCAGTCAGACACACACATAAAGCTTGGCATGAAATGATGACACAGAAGAGGTTAGCTGTTTTGATTCCATATCTTTATTCAATTCAAATGGCAAATCATTATTCTTTCAGATTCTCCAAAATTACATATCCAATAATGATTTAAATTAAAATAAGGTTAAAGTTAAGTTTTCATAACTATTCTAACAAAAGGAAGAAGAAGGGACAGCGTGGCAGCAAAGGTCTTAAGCAGGAGGAGAAAAGCAATCTGATGAAAAATGGCACAAACTCTTCATTTATAGTAGCGGTTACATAACATGCCAGAATGTTCTCGAAAGTATACTGATCTAAGGGGAAGATCCTGAACTGCGGAAAGTTAATTAGAGGTTGCCTGTTCACGTAAAGCCATCGTATTTTTTATATTTTAAATGAATATATATAAGTAATAAACTTCAAAAACATTTTAATGAATTTCAAAGTAATTACATTTGTAGAAAGCAAACAAAAAACATAAAAAATAAGTACATATGCTATAAATAATGTATGTATATATAAAACCTATAAATCAAAACCTATACCTATAAACACCATATAAATCAAAATTACATTATACCCATTTTAACACACACTTAATATGTACATAATGTATGTACTGTATTTGAGGGCATACAAGACGCACTTTTTTTCCTAAATTTGGTCTCAAAAAAGTTACCTGCGTCTTATACGTGAAGGACACAATCTTATACGCGAAGGTAATTGCATTCAATAATTGTTTATTTGGCTTTTACGAAATGTGAGAACTAAAAGAAACCACACTATTTAACTTTTTTTCCTTGTTTGTGGCCGTCTAAATAAGGGTGCGTCTTATATGCCGTCAAATACGGTAAATATGTTTTATATTTTGATAAAAAAATTATGAAAATTTGGCTATTTGATTTTAAACCTGTCAGCAAAATAAACATTTGATGCAGATGCTGGATGATTTTTAACAGAATGTATGTACTCTTAAAGAAAGTCATCAGGTCATGTTATGTTTACTGTTTCATTGCTATGTGTGTTATTTTTAAAATATATTATTTATATATGTATAATACCTGCATGACAGTGAATATCTCGTGAATACTATGCTTAAATAAGAGTTCAGTCCTTTCAGAACTTATTAAAAAGGCAAGGAAACAAAATATTATGCACTTCATTAATGAAACTTAAATAACTAAAAACATTCTATTCCTTTAAACCACCAAAACAGGTCATAAATAGCATATATAAATTGTGTGCTAAGACGTACTAACTAAAAGATGAGCATGTACACATTTGATTTTCAAAATTTGCAATTTAAACATGATGTTATCAAAAATAATCAAATAATAGCTGCATTGTTGTATTTGTTAACTCAAATCTTTTTTAAACAATGAACATACAATTTATACACATCTCTTCTTATTAAACATAAACTTAATATCTTCAGCATTATTTTAGAACATTTTAATTTTCCCTAATGCATAAATACATAAGGAAAAATTAAGCATTAAGTTCAATGCCTAACTTGCATTGAATGTAATGCTTAATCTAATATGTGTTTATGCACTGCAGCAAAAAATAAAGTCAGGTGATTAACATTCAAAGCATTTAATAAAATATTTAAAATTTAAATGTTAGCCAAAATATGTCAGTATTTAACTTTCAATCCTAGTGACTATAATCAATTATTTTCATAAAACAATTTCACCAACATTATTTAATGAAATAAGATTGTTACTCATCAATGCTTAAAGAAATTTATTGATTTAATAAAACTGTATTTACTTAAAAATTCTTATGCTCCTGGTTAGAAACTAACAGTAGATCATGTATAAAATAATGAAAAATACAACAATTTCAAATATACTGCTTACAAATTCTGATGGTTACATCTTTTATATTACTCAACAAAATACCATATTTATTTAGTTTAATAAAAACTATTCTTTTCTTTACTCACTTTTTTAAAAGCTCTTTTATCCTTTTTGAAAACAAGATTATTCATTTTAATGAACTAAAAATAAGATAAACATATGCTACAAATACTGACCAACACAAAGACTGACACATTAGCAGTTAGCAAGATCCTACATTTTAAATATTTAATGCCTATTTCAAACTTTTACTACCCTTTTTATTTGATAAGTGGAGAGCTTACCAATAAATATTAAAATCTTCAAACTTTTACAATACCATATCTAATGATTTGATTAAATGAATACATTTAACTGAAGTTGTACAAACCAATTTTGTTAATTTATATTAAAAAAATCTTTTTTTTTAAATAAAAATTAAAAATGAAACTGCAGAACTCAACAGATGGTGGTCAAGTCAGTTGTCACATTATGGTGGAGAAATAATTTTATGAAAAACAGCATTGCGATGAAAAGTATCTTATTTTTGCATTGCATACAGCATGCTAATTAAACATGCTGAAATAGTAATGTAATGTACGAATGAATAAGTAGTATTTACTCTCTAAGGTGACAAATAATATGACGATGCAAGTTGCCTTTTTGAGTAAATCCTTTTCCACATTTACTACACACAAAAGGTCGAACACCAGTATGAGTTAAGAAATGTGAATGCAAATGTGCACTGTTATTTGTTGAATATGAACATGATATACATCTGTGCCTTTTTGATGCATTTATTTGGAAACTTTTCTTTCTTGATAAGGTATAAAAGCTGTACCTTGACACATTTTCATTTCTGGAGACTAATAAAAAGAAAATATAATTAGAAATATTAAAAACAAGACTTTGCATAAAATTCTCATACATAAAATACTATAATATATACATCAATTACAATATTAATGCATGACATCAGAACACTATATACGTGATTTGAATTGCATAAGTGTTAATAAAACAAAAGTTGCTTGCATATTAACCACTGCCAGGAACTTCAGCTGATAGCAAGACAATGATCTGAACAACAATGCACATCAGTTAGCAATACAATCAAACTAATTGCAGGGGATTTTAATAGCTTTCCCCTTGTGTAATGTGAATATCAGCCAGTTTTCCTCAAAATGTTCCCCGCTACAGCACCTCCCCTTTAAGCAAATAGCTTTTGGGTGATTTGCCATAATCCAATCAATTACTGCTAATGTAATTCAGATTCCCTCATGAGAGTTTGCTATTTTCTTTATCATCTGTCTACATTTTTGTCTATTGCACTCCTATTACATGCTTTCTTTAGTGACATTATAATACCATGACATGAAAATTAACATTCAGCAATATTGTGTCATATTGAAAAAAAACTGAAAGCTTCCATCTGAATATTTTGTAAATTCCTGAGATCCATTCAGAAAATAACAAATTAGAACATATACAGTAACAGTTAACAGAACAAGATTGCACATATGGTTCAAAATCATTGTGAAGGATAAGGACACAGTAATAAGGATGCATCCATTTATTGATCAATTATTATTGTACCTTGGTGTCAATCAAAATTCCTGATAGCAGCTAATATTCAAGTAAATAAAATAGTAATGAATAATCTAAATAAACATCAAAATGAAAAGTTACGAACAATAAAATTAAGAATGCCTCTCTCTCTTTCTTTTTCTCTCTCTCTATATATAAACAGACATACAATACTCATATATGAAGAAAACATATTTTATTGATATAAAATAAATATACATTAAAGAAGCTTTCAAACATTATGCAAGCCACACAAGGAAAGATAACTTTTTTTAAAATGAAGAAAACATAACAATTAATAAAAATTGTAAAAGTAATCATCTTGAAACATTTTAGTTTTTTAAAAATTAGTAACTTAAAAAAAATTAGTAAAAATTAATAATTTTTTGGATTTTTTGAACATATTCATGTTCAATATTAATATGAGTTTTTGTACTACTTCCATAATTGAATATTCCAATTTTTTTAGCCATTAACCTTTACTAATATAAGATAAACATTATAAATAAGATAAACAATCAACACTTTCAAGTAATGTTCAACTTTCATATCATAACGAATTACTAAATTCTTATACAATACTACTAAATCAAAAATTACTATTTAACCTTTCATTAATAACAATAAAATGCAGAGTTGTGTGTATCACAAAGCACTGACATATATAAGCTACAAAATTTGGCACAGCAGTTGTCTGCATGGAGCCTGAATGCCCTTCAAGTGATTTTTCCAAAATTTGATTCACTTTATCATGTAATATTGAAATTACTTTTTTTGTGCCATCTCTACATATGTCTTTATTTGATAAACTAATAGTCCCAAAATTCCATTGTTTGCAGCATTATTGAATAGAGCTGCAAAAAATCTTTTAAACAAAGTTTATTATGAACCTATGATATAATTAACACAATTTATCAATTTTAGTGACATTTTTTAAAATTACCATATTTTGCTACTTTACAATTCCAACATCCAAAAATATATCTGTAGTACAATTTTTAAATTTCCACAAATTATAAAATAAATTTTATGTTCTCTTTTAAACAAGAACAATAAAATATTAATTAAGCCATTTTCTATATTTTCAAATATGCATTCGATCTCAATTAGAAGTCTTATGACTTCCATTTGAAAACAATGATTCCAAGAGATATCATGTAATGATGATAAGTACAATTTGCACACACACACCCAAAAAAGAATACAATTCTATATCTCCCACTCTACTGGGCAGATACTACAAAATTTATTTTGCATTTTCATGTCTTGAAAGTGTGACTTCAGATATATATTAGATTTATATATAGTGTTGTTCTAACATAGATATTTGGCAAAAAAAAAAAAAAAAATCTTAAATTATATAATTATTCCAATATATATTATATAATTTTTCCGTATTTTGATTCCAAGTCTCAAATTAAGCCTGAATATTAAGTTTACTAAAATTTGATAAAAACTTTATGAGAAATTTTAAAATTTGTTTTGGAGCACATTTTCAGTTTGCACCAAGAATAATTCACTTGGTGAAATTCTTAATTTATGGTAATGCATGAGTGGTGCTGTGCCTTTCGTTGTGCATGAGTGGAATAAAAGGTGCACTATTCATTCAGATAATTTTAACATAAAGTGCTAATAAACCATATTTGGCGTTATTATTGCTTATAATAAATATGCCAAATTTCAAAACGCGACATAAATTCTCATATATCTTCAGAAATTTTACATAAAAAATTCTAATTTTTTACAGGTATGTCTAGAAATATATCTACTTTAAGACGATGCAAAAATTTTACAGCTTATAATACAAAATGGTTTTTGAAAAATTTACAAATAAAAATCCTAAAAAACACAAATTTTAAAAACAAATCAGGAAATACCTGCAAATTTTATTTTGACTGATCCTAAATTTCGAATAATGAAACAAGGAATCCAGCAAGTTAAATAAAAAAAAAGAGAGAGATTAATAAATATATGCCATGTTCTATTAACATTGAAGAACTAAAATTTTAAGAGCTGATTTTTTATAAACCTTGTGGTTTTTACATAACTTGGCACTTTGCCATTTGAGTGGCAAATTCGAAATATGGAAAAAAATATGTGTGTTATTGCAGAAAGTCTGATTTTAACCTTCCAGCACGCGCATTTGCTCAAAATTTATGACAAATTCTGTTTTTAATGCACATTTTTTGCATATCGAAGCTGAGACATCTGAAGGTCATTTCTATTCCTCCTTTCTACCCTTTCCCACATCATGGAATGTGCCAACAGGAAGTCATTTGACTTTTTTTTAACTGGGCTTTTGTGCTACGTGGCAGCTTTTTCGTAAAAGTTACGATATGAGCATGGTCGTGGGTGAAAATTCGGAAAACATTTTGTAATTTTGTGTTATTAATTGCTGTGTATTATTTTAATTTGTATACATTTGGCTCTGTAAATTTTATATCGGTTTTCATGGCAAAACTAGTTGATTTTGCTCGCATCGTTCACGAATTATCTGATGAAGACAAGGAAACCTTTGGAGAACAATAGCAATTTCCATTTCTTATTTTCTTTTATTTCTATTTTTTAGAAATAAATAAAAATATTAAAGTTAGTTTAAAGTACATTTTTGTAACCAGTAAGAAGTAAATTTTCTTGCAAAAATAAGTTATGCTAAACTTACTTTTTTTTCTACCAAGGTGAGTGTGCTTTTTTTTTTTTTTTTTTTTTATTTGTCTATACTTGCCTTTGATGAATATTAAAATTAGCTTCGATTTTAAAATATAATTATTAAAGAATAAATTAAAAATTTTCTATAATGAAATGCATCATTGCATTCCCATCTCACTCATATAAGAACTTAAAAATAATTTACTTATATTTGAATGTGATATCATTTGTATTTTGCAATAATAAGATTAATATTTTATTTCTTAACAAATTTATTATCAATATTCACTCATTTCTGTCATTTTTCGTGCCAAAAAAATGGTAAAATAACGGATGTCATAAAAAATACGACGCGTGCGTGCTCACATAAAATTGCCAAGTGCGCGTGCTGGAAGGTTAAGTCAAAATGCCTTCCAGCAAGTTAGAAAAATGCTGTATATAAATCTAATTAATATATATCCTAAGTCACACTTTCGAGACATGAAAAATGCAAGTTAAATTTCATTAAGCAGCCCAGTAGGACAGTTTTTTTTTTTTTTTTTTTTTTTTTTTTTTTGTTGTGTGTGTGTGTGTGTGTGTGTGTTTGCAAGGTATACAAGAAAGTATGTGGTGTTTATTATACACAGAAATATTTCCCTTCTTCAGCACACCTTCATTTAGTAGTTATTCCCCTTTATTACTCATATTTTTTTCTGGCAATAAAAAATTATTTGCAAAGAAATTAGACCAGCCTTTCACATGTCATTTTATATGGATGCTGTTCTTTACAACCTTTAATTTTTATTGTTATACATGTATGTTCCTTCTTTTTCTAGCTGATATTTAGAAATTAGCATTCATTTATTTCAGTCTGATAAGCTCATTTTCCTCAATATCTTTTTTACTTAAAATTTAGTGGTTTTATCAGTAAATTTAGGAACTGCCTGGCATCTAAAATCATTTGCTGAAGAGTTATTATTTTTCTACTTTATAACTTATTTTAGCTGTTCCTTTCTTTTTTTAATGAATTTCCTTTTTTCGAGGATGAGCGCTATATTTTTTACTTCTGATTTAGTTTATACATCAGTAAAATCTTGCAGAATTTATTTCTGTTTGTGAGATTTAACCTGAATGGGATATAAGTTTTCTAACTTTTATTTTTTCTAAGAACTGTTGACTACAATATCTGGCAAATTGTTCTGTCGCCATTTAAATAAACATATATCATTAAACTCCTACGAAAATAAGGGTGGAAAAAATTAGTACATGAGCTGTAAAGCTTTAAAATAGCCCTTTTTTTCTGTCAGGTTTAATTTTTAATTCATTACAAGTTGAAATCACTTCAAAAAGAATGTTCTTTAGTATATAGAATAACATTACAACTTCATTATTATGGGAATGGTTTTTACTTGCTTCTAGACAATAAATTAACAGTTGAAAAACATAGCTCAATGATTGAAAATGTACAATTAAAAAAATGAAAGCAATAAAAATCACAAAATTTTATGAATTCAACCAAGAAAAATCTGAGTTAATTGAAATTTTTCACACATGCTTACAACAGTGTTAAATGATAATGAACACTTGTTTTGGCACATTTTGCAATATTTTCATTAAATCCACATGAGTAATAATAATAATAGCAAAGAAA